TTTGTGTCTCTCTCCCTCTTTCCACCTCTTTCATTCTTTCTTTCCACCTCTCTCTCTCTCTCTCTGGCAAAAAATATCATTAGCAAACAAATAAATATACTTGGACAAATAAATATCATCAATATCTGTTTCCCCCCCCCCTTTTGTTTTTTATTTTTGGCAGTCTCATTTAATGTTAATAAAAAGGAAATGTGCATGTTTTTCAATAAAACCATGTGGGTTGCATTTGTTCATGTCTTGTGGCTCTTAGACATCTGACGTTTATTCTGTGTGACTCTTAAGTTAAGCACGTTTGGCCACCCCTGGTCTAGACTAAAAGTCCTTTTCTTCCTCCTTTGTCCCCCTCTCAGGCAGTGAAGGAACAGTGCTGAGCCGTCAGTTTTGCAGAGGAGGGGAAACGGCAGCTGCACCTCCAGTCCGGGTAAGGAAGATGAGCGGGGGACAGCCTGGGTGGGGGGTTTTCAGAGGGGGGCTTTTGCTCCTGCAGTTGCTGCTTAGGTGTCCAAGGGAGAGAGGCTCAGAATGCCCTCCCTTTGCCCATGCCAAGGTGTACATCCTGTTCCCTCCTGGAATGCTCCCTTCCAGGGTGCCTTCTCTGCCTGGCATGATCTCTGAGGAGGGAATCTGCTTTTTCTTCCAGGGTCCCTTTTCCTTTGAGGAGGCGGCCGTGTATTTCACAGAGGCGGAGTGGGCACTAATGGATCTGGGCCAAAGAGCTCTCTACGGAGATGTCGTGCTGGAGAACTATGGGAGCGTGGCCTTTCTGGGTAAGGATCATTCATAAGGGCCAAAGGTGCAAACTGCCACCACTGAGATGATGCATGAATCAAAATATTGGAACACAAATCCATTGTTTTCAGGCCTGCCTCACTACTTGTTCCCTACTGGGGGTCTTGTGGAGGTGGGATGGCAATGAAAATGATGTTCAGCATGACTTGGGAGAGCGACTCAACCCCCTTGGCTGGCCCAGGGGCAACTGTGGCCAGTGTTGTCGCCATCACCTGAGCCAGAGAGGGTGTCCTGACCTGCGGCCAAAAGGGGCTGGGAGGCCCTCAGAAAGACCCTGGAAGGGGTCAGATCCTGATTTCTCAGTTGCCAACATTTACAGCATGCTCTTCACCCCGATGGGATAACAGCCATCCCCTCTGACTGTGATCTGGTATGGATCCGTCCCCCTTAAACTGGATAGGACTGTGGGCTGATCATGTTTCCATCCTTCCAGAAGAATTTTTCCTCTTCCTTGGCTTCCTTTCCCACATAAGAACGATCTCTCTCTCTCTCTCTCTCTCTCTCTCTCTCTCTCTCTTTCTCTCTCTCTCTCTCTCTCTCTCTCTATCTATCTATCTATCTATCTATCTATCTCTATGTGTCTCTGTGTCTCTCTCTCTCTCTCTCTCTCTGTCTCTCTCTCTCTGCCGAAGAAGCCAGGAATGTAAGAGAGATTATGGTGGAGACACACAAAGGCCTCTGATCTGAAGAAAGGCTGGAGAGTTTCTCAAGAAAAGAGAGCATTTCCTTTCCAAATATTAGAATCATAGAATCACAGAGTTGGAAGGGGCCATACAGGCCATCTAGTCCAAACCCCTGCTCAATGCAGGATCAGCCTAGAGCATCCCTGACAAGACAGAATCATAGAAACAAGATAGAATCATGGATGAGCTGGCTGCAAGTGGGGTTTCCTTCACAGTTATGTCAAAAGACCAGGCAAGGAATAGGAAAGGAGGATTTCTGCTTTCCTTCTTAGCAACTCTCGGTTTGGTAGCATTGTAAAGCACACTGGGTTAGGAGGGAAGGAGGCCTTCTGGGACCTGAAATCTGGAGGCTCAGAAGCTCCATCTGGGCCTGAGCTCAGTGATGGGCCTTGAGGTGGTGCGATTCTTGCGGTGCGCGGAATGCTGGCTAGCACGTTAGTGCCCAAAGTGAATTGGAGTACCCAAAGAAGACTGGAGTCCAGAGCTTAGGTGCATACACACAGTGTTATTTATTCACACCCAGCTTCACCAATATACAGTTCTTAGTGTCAAAGTGCTCCGCTGCAGCCATTCCAAGTGATAGGACACAGTACACTGTACACTCTGTACATATATACAACCACTGACCAATCAGCACACAGCTGATGCAGTCCTGGTACAATGCTCAGTGCCAGGCTGGACTGCTTCAAACCGGTTATAGCCAGCCTCCTTTGCAGTGACATGCTGTCACTCACTCTGACACTAGATCAAACTCATCTAGGCCAGCCTTACCTATACAAGTGAATCACGACAGCGATATCCTTAAATAATGGATAGTCTAGGGAAAGGTGGGTTAGGGTTACATAAGAACAGCTAGGCTGGATGAGGCAAAAGGGCCATCAACGCTGGTCACCCAGATGCCTTAACTGCCCCCCCCACAACTGGTATCCAGTGTTCCCTCTAAGCTGACTTAGTGTGAGCTAGCTCAGTTTTTTAGCCTCCGACTCACACATTTTTGTCTTTGTTCAGGAAGGAGGGCTCCAGAGCAAACTAATTTATGCAGTAGCCCAATCGCCCGCTCACAACTTTAATGCCAGTAGCTCACGAAGTAGAACTTTTGCTCACGAGACTCCACAGCTTAGAGGAAGCATTGCTGGCATCCCTTCCAAAAACTGTAGGGAGTACCCTTTAAAGTGTGCTGCTCACTTGGTGAGGTCCTGGCATCTTCTTCCCCTACAGCAATCACCTTTTGGGGGGTGTAACCTTGGCAGTGGCCTCTGACCAGGGTTCCTCCCAAATCTGCAGGACCCCCCTCCCAGGTTCCTCCTCGGCTGCCCTAGTGCACATATAACATTTTCCTATGCACCCCTCTTCACCTTCCTTTAACAGCAGGCTTACGACATACATTTAGGTGCTCTGTGCCACCCCGAACAATCTTCATACGTCTGACTCTCAATGTTCTCGTCACTCCATTCCCCTCCTAGTCCTTTCGTCTCTTCTGCTCAGACATTTTCCATTTACCACACCAGTCCTGTCTTTTCAGTTCTCTCACTCCTTGCTTTGTCTGTCTGCTGGCCTCTCCCGCCCCCTCCCCTCGAGTTTTAGGCAACTCCTGAGTGTCCCTGCTGGGCCTCCTCATGACACTTCTGTGACTCCAGCAGCCTCCCTCCTGCATCCCCCACATCCAGCACTTAAACTTTCTAGCTGGCCAGAGTGGTATATGATTTCAGAGACAGAAAGACGAAGTAAAGGCAGAAGGACTTGGAAAAGGGCCCTTTGAAGCGAAGAATAAGATGATGATCAGAGATTTCTCTCATAAAAACTAATAAAATAACATATAAATAGTGAATTGTTATAAGCAAGAACTGTACAAGTATATTGTGACATTAACACTTACGGTACTAACATTTTTACTAACAGTGAAAAGATCTCCTCCTCTTGGGGTTTTAAGTTTAGTGTGGTTTGCTTTCCTTTATCCTTAGTTGTAGTCCCTTTCCTAATATTTCTTTGTAGTTTTTGTAGTATTTGCAAAATAAAAAATATCCCTCTGGGGATTTAAAAAAAAACACAACTTTCTAGCTGGCCAGTTGGCCTCCACAATCCCAACAGGCATGGTATGTCACTTCTGGCCCAATCATGTTCCTTCCCAAACATGCTGTATGTTACCTCTGGCTGCCGGCCTGACTTTGCAGGGCCTGCTTCTGTCACCGGGGGGGGGGGGGTTTTTTCCAAAGGAAAACCCCCCCCCCAGTGATTGAGGATTGCCTGATTGGTGGCCTGGCTTCTTGCCTGGGTGGTGACTGGACCTCTTTCTTCATCCCAGCAGCAAATATAGACGAGACACTTGGGGAATTCCAGGGATTCTCTTTGGAAAAAACCAAGAATGAAGAAGCCGAAAGAGACTTCAAAGGAAATACACAGGCAGGCGGGAAGCCACTTCTAACCAGTATTCCCTCTAAGCTGAGTTAGTGTGAGCTAGCTCAGTTTTTTAGCCGCTGACTCACACATTCTTGTCTTAGCTCAGGAAGGATGGCTCAAGAACAAACTAATTTATGCAGTAGCCGAAACACTCACTCACAACTTTAATACCAGCAGCTCACAAAGTAGAATTTTTGCTCACAAGATTCCACAGCTTAGAGGGAGCATTGCTTCTAACGTGTATATTACTGCACATTTCAATGTACAACAGGAACCAGCCCCTGAAATGCTTGAGTGTAGATAGAATTTTAAGTGCAAATCAGACCTCCTTGTGTGGCTGCTAACAGGATCTCTCTCTATATTCCCACAGAAGGAGATCAGAGGAACGAGGAGGATGAGGAACTGCATCATCTGTCACCAGATGAAGTCAAGAATGAAGACCTAAGAGGAAACTTCAGGAATCAAGTCAGGCCCAAGAGGCAAAAGGGAAGCCACACAGTCCAGAAGAGGGATGTACCCATTCCTTGCCAAGGGGGGGATTTTTGTGAATTAATTGACATAGTGGAGGAAACCTATAAGTGCTTGGAGTGTGGAATGAACTTCTCAGATCAAACCCAATATAATATGCATTTGCAAAAGCACAGTGGGAAGGAGACCCGTCAATATCTGGAGTATGGAAAGAGCTTCCTTTGTAGAGCAGAACTAATCGGACATCTAAGAACACATGGAGGAGAGAAACATTATCATTGCTCAGACTGTAGCGAGAGTTTCTCACAGCAATCAGACCTTATTAAACACCAAAACATTCATTCAGGAGAGAAGCCATTGATCTGTTCAGAGAGTAGAGTGACATTCTCTGATGGAAGACAGGGAAATTTACATTTCCCCAAAAACATTAAAATGACCTCATGTAAATGCTTTCAGTGTGGAAGGTACTTTAAATACAGATCACAGCTCCTTATGCACCAAAGAGTACACACAGGGGAGAAACCCTTTGAAAACTCAGAGTGTGGAAAAAGATTGAGTGACAATAGCAACGTTCAATGGCATCTAAAAACCCTCACAAAAGAGAAAGCTTTTGAATGCTCAGATTGTGGCAAGAAATTCAGCTTCAGTTCCAATCTTCAACAGCATCTAAGAACCCATACAGGTGAGAAACCTTTTGAATGCTCAGAGTGTAGAAAGAGATTTAGGTTGAGTGGGCATCTTCAGCGGCATCAAAGAACCCACACAGGGGAGAAACCTTATGAATGCTCAGAATGTGGCAAGAGATTCAGTGATACATGTAGCCTTCAAAAGCACCTACGAGTCCACAGAGGGGAGAAACCTTTTAGATGCTCAGAGTGCGGAAAGAAATTCAGTCAGAGTAGCAATCTTCTACAGCATCAAAGAACTCATACAGGGGAGAAACCTTTTGGATGCTCAGAGTGTGGAAAGAGATTCAGTGACACATGTAGCCTTCAAAAGCACTTAAGAACCCACACAGGGGAGAAACCTTTTGAATGCTCAGCATGTGGAAAGAGATTCAGTGACACATGTAGCCTTCAAAAGCACCTACGAGTCCACACAGGGGAGAAACCTTTTGAATGCCCAGAGTGTGGAAAGAAATTCAGTTTCAGTTCCAATCTTCAACAGCATCAAAGAACTCATACAGGGGAAAAACCTTTTGAATGCCCAGAGTGTGGAAAGAGATTCAGTGACACATGTAGCCTTCAAAAGCACCTACGAGTCCACACAGGGGAGAAACCTTTTGAATGCCCAGAGTGTGGAAAGAGATTCAGTGACACATGTAGCCTTCAAAAGCACCTAAGAACCCACACAGGAGAGAAACCTTTTGAATGCCCAGAGTGCAGAAAGAAATTCAGTCGGCATGACAATCTTCTACAGCATCAAAGAACCCACACAGAGGAGAAGCCTTTTGAATGCTCAGAATGTGGAAAGAGATTCAGTCAGAGCGGCAATCTTCACAAGCATTTAAGAACTCACACAGGGGAGAAACCTTTTGAATGCTCAGAATGTGGAAAGAGATTCAGTCAGAGCGGCAATCTTCACAAGCATTTAAGTACTCACACAGGGGAGAAGCCTTTTGAATGCTCAGAGTGTGGAAAGAGATTCAGTCGGAATGACAATCTTCAACAGCATCAAAGAATCCATACAGAGGAGAAAGCTTTGAACACTCAGAGTCTGGAAGGACCTTCCACTTGAACCTCACTCTTCAACAGCATCTAAGAACCCACACCAATGAAAAATGTTTTGAACGTGCAGAGTGTGAAAAGAAATACATTCAGAGCTGTGATCTTCGAAAGCTCAGAGTGTGGGAAGAGATTCAGTCAGCATGGCAGTCTTCTACAGTGTCAAAGAACTCACACCAGGAGGAACCATGTAACTGATTAGCTTGTGGAAAGAGCTTTTGCATCTGCCCAGAATCCTTACCTTAACCTAGAAGAAATGATAGAAAGATTCAGACTGAGGACAGAGCTCAACGTATTTCTCAGGGAAGAAAGAAAGGATGTGTTCTGAGGGTGGAAGGAGATTCAATACCAACCCATATATCCTTAACCTTTGAGGAATCCACACAGGAGTGAAATCTCATAAATACTCACTGTGTAGCAAGAGCTTGAGGCAGAGATCCTCCCTATTTCTCAGATAATCCACACTAGGGCAAACCTTTCCTGTAGGTGGTTCTGATGAGGCTATTCTTTGAATGCCCAGGTGTTTGGAAGCTCCGAAATACTCAGAAAGAAGGGCCTTTTTAGTGGTTACCCTCCTTCAGTCTATCTGCCAAGCTTTCTGACATCTGCAAAACTTTCTAAAACATTTCTCTTTTCCGCATAGGCTGTGGTCACACGGTCGTTTTGATCTGGTTTCATTGCTGTTCCCTCCCGCATATCGGCCGCATTTGATATGGTCGACCATCAGCTGCTGACCCACCGTCTCGCCGACGTGGGGATTCAGGGGCTCGCCCTTCAATGGCTTACCTCTTTTCTCCATGGTCGGGGACAAAGGGTGGTGATAGGGGAGCAGCAGTCCCGGAGGCGCCCTCTTGTGTGTGAGGTGCCTCAGGGGGCTGTTCTCTCCCCGTTATTGTTTAACATCTATATGCGCCCCCTTGCCCATATTGCCCGGAGGTATGGGCTTGGGTGTCATCAATATGCGGATGACACCCAGCACTATCTGATGTTGGGCGGCCGGTCGAGCTCTGTCCCTGAAGATCTGCACCGGGCATTGCAGGCCGTGGCTGGTTGGCTCCGGCTGAGCAGGCTGAAGTTAAACCCGGCAAAGATGGAGGTCCTGGGCTTGAGTCGTGGTGGTCTGGGGTTAGGGCTCCCTCTCCCGACCTTCGATGGGGTGCCTTTGGTGCCAGCGCCGGAGGTTAGGAGTTTGGGAATGCTCCTGGACTCCTCGTTAACCATGGAGGCCCAGGTGGCAGCCACTGCCAAGTCAGCCTTTTACCATCTGCGGCTGGTGCGGCAGTTGGTCCCTTTCCTCGACCACAGTGACTTGGCCACAGTGATCCATGCGACGGTCACCTCGAGGCTAGACTACTGTAACGCTCTCTACATGGGGCTGCCTTTGTTGCAAATCCGGAAGCTGCAGCTAGTGCAGAATGCTCCGGCCAGGCTGTTGATGGGTCTTCCTAGAAGGGACCATATCCAGCCTGTGCTGAAAGCGCTGCACTGGCTGCCAATAGCGTACCGGATTCATTTCAAAGTGCTGGTTCTTACCTTTAAAGCCCTACATGGTCTGGGTCCAGCTTACCTAAGGGACCGCCTTTCCTCATATGTTCCCCCGCGAGCACTTCGGTCCGGGACGCAACATCTCCTGGCAATGCCAGGCCCCAAAGAGGCCAGGCTGGCCGCTACCAAGGCCAGGGCTTTCTCAGTGGCGGCTCCTACCTGGTGGAACGAGCTCCCGGAGGAGATCCAGGCCCTGCGGGACCTTGTACAGTTCTGCAGGGCCTGTAAGATGGAGCTCTTCCACCAGGCATATGAGTAGGAGCTGCCACTACCATCACTATTGCTCCATCTTAACCTGGCCCTGGATGAGGGCACATCAGCGCTTCCCGGAGCAGATGATGCTGAACAGTTGAAATACGCCATCTGTGAAATATCATCTTGAACATCTAGAGCACTTTAGTTAGTTAATAACTTGTTAATAATGTTTTTGTATTGTATGGATTTTAAATGTTTTTAAATGTTTTTATATTGGCGTATGCCCCTATGTAAGCCGCCCTGAGCCCGCATTGCGGGGAGGGCGGGGTATAAATTGAATAAAATAAATAAATAAAATAAATAAATAAATCGCTGACCAGACAGGCTGATCCGCCTCCCGTGCCGAAGTGGGCTCACTCCTGCAATGTTCCCAGTTCTCTCCCGTGTTTTCCTGCACCGGGAAAATCAAGTACTTTCCGGGTATTTGCACTTTGCGTCCGTGATTTCACCGATTTGGACAGCCATCTCTCGCAATGATTGCGATTAGGGTCGTCTGACCATCCTTCGCGCGATGAGGTTTCGCCTTTGTGCGCATGAGCAATACTACACTGCAGCTGTAGAGGCAAATATCCCACAAAGCCTCTGTAAGATGGCACACTTTTTTCTTCCAGGTAGCTGGCAACCTTTAAGTAAGTGTTTTTTTTAAATTAAAGATAATGGAAGTTCAGCTAAGGAAGGGTTATAGCTCATTAAAGAGTTGTTTATTTCTATTTGTGTGGTTTTTCATGTGGTTTGTGGGAGTTTTTTTAATGAGTAAGGCTTCATTAAGTGTTTCAAAGGTTAGTGCAACATGTCTTTTTAAATTTGTATATAAAGCTGTAAAACAGAAATTCTCTTGCAGATGCTTGAGATGGGCACTTCGTGCCACAATTGATCCCCATGAGTGAACCTGACCCAGTTTGCCCACATTCATGTTGTAACTAAGTTAAGACAGTTGTAAGGATTAAACTTTTGTGGAGAAGCAGCCTTCTTGGAAGAAGCCTGTTTGATAGTCATAGGAATCTCAGGACCTTCCTATTTGTTTATTTTATTAGAACATTTATAGCCCTCTTTTCCTTATATTTCAAGGCAGTTTACAATGATAGCTAAGAACATTTTCAGTTGAATCTGAAAATACAATAGCAAAACCAACATCTCTCTCCCCTTGCCCCCTTAAAATAGGCCTGCCATTCAAACATCCACGAAATCCCTGAGAAACAAGCAAGAACTGCAGTGCCTGCTGAAGATCCCCAAGGAAGGTATTCACTGCCGCAGGAAGTGGTGGCGGCTGTAAGCATAGACAGCTTCAAGAGGGGATTGGGGGAACATATGGAACCGAGGTCCATGAATAGCTATTAGCCACAAGGTGTAGATGGAACACTCTGGGGCAGTGATGTTCTGTATTCTCGGTACTTCAGGGGCATGAGTGGGAGGGCTTCTGGAGTTCTGGCTCCATTATGACACCGGGGTTTTGGCCACTGTGTGACACAGAGTGTTGGTCTGGGTGGGCCACTGGCCTGACCAGCATGGCTTCTCTTATGTTCCTACGTTCTCTTCAGGGAACACAGTTCACAGAACTGGAAAAGCCAGGGCCCTAGTAAATGGTATCTCTTCAATTGGTTGTGTGCCAAAATATCAGCTTTTTGTGGTTATTCTGAGTTCTATTGTGTAGAACTCTGTCTTTGCAAGATTCAGTCTCAGCCGGTTTCAGCCATGCCACCACAGTTTCAACCTTCCCACAGACAGTTTCAACCATCCCACTACAGCCTCCAAACCCTCAGCCACTTAGATCACACTTACCAAGGTATGAGTCAAAGCAGGCAGGACTTGCCGAGTTGGACATATTTCTAACCAGTTTGATTCCCAACAGTTCCTGCTTCCATGGCAGGTCTGGGAAGGGTGAGTGACCTGTAATTTGGAGGAAAGTTTCTTAAAGGCCTGTGGTAGACTGCGCCTCTGGTTACTAGATCACCACCAAACAGCCGCACCCCTCACTGTTGACCTAGTGGTGGCAGCAGAGAGTCAAGTTCGAACGTGATGGAATCTGGCTGAAGAAGTTTGCAGATGAGACAAAATTATTCAGGCTGATGGGGAAAAAAAGACTGCCTGTGAAGAGCTCCAAGAGGACCTCCAGAAACTGGGTGAATTTACCCTGGGCTCTTTACTGCCGGAGCTCCACTCCTGTGCGCTCCTGCAGGAAATGACCCCTGCACATTGGGACAAGAAATCCCAATGTCACATATAGGCTAATAGGGCCTGAACTTGCTGGTGTGACCTGTCCGGGGGGGGGGGGGAGAAGATCTTGGGGTTGTAGTGGAGAGCTCAATGAAAGTGTCACCCCAATGTTCTGCATTGGTGAAAAAAGGCAAACTCTATGCTAGGGCTTATTAGGAAACGGCCACCATTATAATGCCCCGGTATAGATCTATAGATCGAATACTGTGTACAATTCTGCTCACCACATCTGCAAAAGGACACTGCACAGCTGGAAAAAGTACAGAGGAGGGCGGCCAAGATGATGAGGGGTTTGGAGCAACTTCGCTATAAGGAAAGGCTGAAGAGTCTGGGACATTCCGGTTTAGAAAAGAGACGACTGGGGGGGGGGGGGGGGGGGTGCAGGGGGGGGGGAGGTGGGCGCGGGGCACGGGGGGTGGGTGGGGCAGAGGGTTGCTGGAGCCCTCGGGATTGGCTTACTTACCCATGGAGGCCACGGCACGTTTGGCCCCTGACCTGACTATGCTGGGCCGGGCCAGCCCAGGCACTTTCCCTGCCAGAAAAGGAAAGGGCCACTTACCTGCTGCCTATGTGGTGCTGCGATGCCCATGTGATGTTCGCAGGGAAGCAGAGATGGGGGAGGGAGGGAGGGTGCCAGGCTTTCCTTCTGAGGGAAACGTCCTGCCCCAAAGTGGCATGAAAGCGGCAAGCCTTGCGAGGAGGAGGGCCACACTGTGCCGTGGTGGTGTGGCTGCCGAGCAAGAGAGATACGTGTGAGACAGAATGCTGGACTAGATGGAACATTGGTCAGATCCAGCAGAGCTCTTCTTGTGTTCTTACGAGTCCTCTGTCAAATGGAGTACCTTCAGTTCTGGGATGGTTGAGTAAATCGCCGGTGCCCTGTGGTACAAAATGGGGGGGGGGGGTGTTGCAGGGCCTGTTTTCAAATATTTCGATAATCTGTAACAAACATATCCTGACCTAGTTATTAATATTTATAGTCAACTGCTAATGTCACAAGGAGCTGTGGTGGCTCAAGTGGTTAAGACGCTGAACTGCAGGCTGTGGAAGGTTGGTAGTTCAGCAGTTCGAGACCCGAGTGTGCCGCATGACGGAGTGAGCGCCCGTCTCTAGCTCCAGCTCCTGCCAACCTAGCAGTTCGAAAGCAAGAAATTACAAGTAGATAAATAGGGACCACTTCAGTGGGAAGGTAATAGCGTTCCGTGCACCTTGGT